TGCCAAGCGACGAAAACCCAACCCCGATGGCAAACACCGGGGGGGGATAGTTCACGGGGCGGGCTTTTTCCGCGGAGCGGAGCGGTGCGGTTTAGCGGTGCGGTATCACAACCGCACCGCTCCGCCCCGTGACATGAACAAAAAAAACGCTCCGCTCCGTGAGAATTTCCCCCTCGAGTAAACCGCTCCGTGGGCATTCCGAAAAATCCATACAAGCGGCTTTTGCACGGAGCGGTTTGAGATACTCCGCCACACAAGCACGGATAAAACCGCAATGCAGTCACGGATAAAACCGCCGTAAAGTCACGGTTTTCCCACGGAGTCGCGGTTCTTTTCCCACGGAGTCACTCACGGTGTTTCCTCTTTTCCCTATTCTATTGTCAAAGTAAATGATGAGTCGAGGAGGGATTAGGTGTTAGTACTGACAAGTTTCAACAAGAGGCAAAAATGAGGACCCTTTTCTGCTGTTGTTGGACGTGTTGCAGGAGAACGTATGAGTCGAGGAGGTATCTTTGAGGCATTATGTAGAACTGGCAAGTTTCAACGAGAGGCAAATGCTGCTGTTGTTGTACGTGTTGCAGGAACGTAGGAGGAGTTGAGGAGGTATCGATGTGGGGAACGGTCCCTCTCTGAATAATTGATTACTTGACAGCTTTTTGGCCTGTGTGGGCTGTCCTAGCGGCGAGGACGCAATACATGCGGGGTAACCAGTGGCCTCCAACCGCAGCACACGTTACGGATAAATCGGTTTTTGGTGTACCAAATCCGACGCTTTTCACGAAATGGCAGGCACTTCGTCGATTTCGTATGGATATCCGTGCGGTTTTCACGGTGTTTTCTGACGGAAAACCGTTCTCGAGGCCACGGTTTCGCGCGGTTTATGCTACGCGGAGTACACAAAACCGCTCCTTAAAAAAAACGCACTACAGATAAAGCGCTCCTCTCCGCTCCGTGACATGAAAAAACAGAAACCGCTCCGCTCCGTAGGACTTTTGCCCTCGGATAAACCGCTCCGCACCGCTCCGTGATATTTTCAGATGAATAGTAATGTGGTTAAGTCACGGAGTAGAATCACGTGTGGATGAGACGCATGCCTTGGGGGACTCTTGAACATGCATCACCGGTCTGATACTGATGAAAAATGTATATCACGGAGCGGTGCGCAGCGGTTTTTCCGAGGGCAAAGGTCTGTACAAAGCACATTATCCCATAAGGGTGCCCACAACCATTCGCCCGACGAACCAACTACCCAACAACTTCCTTCTACACCTTCCCAGCATATCATCCAGATAGATGCACAAGACGGCTACCAAACAGTCTTGTTGACCCTGTTACCTACGGAGGAGATATCACTGTGTGCTGCTCGGGAAATCGTGGGAAAAATAGACCTTTCGCTGACGCTATGGATTCATTGCTAGTCTACATACCTTGAGACTCTTTTCTTAGATAGAAATGGATTTGTCGGGTCATACTCAGAAAGTAAAAATAAAACGTCTCGCGGAGCGGAGCGGGTGTTTTTTCATGTGTACTACGGTTTTTCACGGCGCGGTTTTGCTTACTCCGTACTATCTACGCTCGAAACCGTGGCCTTGAGGACGGTGCACCGTCAGCAAAAAACGTCCAAACCGCACGGATATCCGTACAATTCGACGGAGTGCCTGCGATTTCGTAGAAGCGTTGGGTTGATACACCGAAAAAATCTGATTTTCTAGCAAGGTGTGCATTGGAAGCCGCTGGTGACAATGTGCGTACGCGTCCTTGCTGCCAGGACAGCCCAAACAGATCAAAAAGCTGTCAATTAATCAATTACTCATATACTCATGACGGTATTGTTCCCCACGTTGATACCTCATCAACTCATACGTTCCTGCAACACGTACAAGAGCAGATTATTCCTCACTTGGATCTCGTTGAAATATGCAGGTACTGATACCTTCGTGACACCAATTGCCCACATCGATACCTCATCGACTCATGCGTTCCTGCAACACGTACAACAACAGCAGATCACTCCTCATTTGCCTCTCGTTAAGACGTGCCAGTACTATGTAGTACAGCACTTTGGTAATACCAGGCGTCTCATATATCACCAAATTCGCCCCTATTTCACTCAGTCGGATTCTACCTCGACAACCGCTTCCTCTCCCGCACGAACGAGCGGCTTGGCAGGTAGCTACAGCTTAAGCCTTCCCAACAGACTGCGCTGCAGCAGCTTCCCATACTCGTAATCATGATCTCGGGAACAACATGGGGTTAGAATAAACACCAGCGCACCAGCACCAGCACGACGAGGAGAGCGATCGCCAGAAGGGCGGTCGCCAGGGTCGTGTGTCGACCCCATCAGAGACGGCCAGACGTGCACACGGACATTTTCTGCACGGAGTGTGTGTGTGGCAACTGTCTGTGCGTGTGGCGCGGTGTGTTTCGGCTTTATCCGCGATTGTGTGCGGAATAGCTCAAACCGCTTCGTGAAAATAACACTTGAACGGATTTTTGGGAATCCCCACGGAGCGGGGCGGCTTGTCCGAGGGCGATAATCTCACTAACGGAGCGGTTTCTTTGTTCCATATCACGAACCGCTGCGCTCTGTGAAAAAAAAACGCTCATTGAACAACCCTGTCATTTTTGATAAAATAAATGTGACATGGAATCTTGTGTCTCAGAGTTTGTCCAGGGTTGCTTGTTGATATGCACAGCACCCCAGTCAGTATGTTTCGCTAAGTTTACGTTAAAGAGTGTGCCACATGCCTGCACTGTGATCCTAAAAATATACAAGGAGGCTGAATCTCTCGGAGATGCGTACCTCCTATCTCATCGTAGCCTCGGCCACCTTCACAGATCACGTTGTGCAGCGAGCGTCTCTGCATGGCAATGTGGACCTCCCGCGGAAATTGATATGCATCCGGTTTATCATTCTTTGACGCTTGCCCACAACAGACATTCGATACTTTCTTCGCCCTCCTGCGGGTTTTCGTCGCTTGGCAGCGATGTTATAAAATAAGCCGATCACTTCGTGAGCTCGGCATCCAGGTTACCGCTTTCGGTAACCATGAATGGTGGTCGAGTAGATAATGTTGTGCGAGGTCGAGAGCCCTCACTCCGCGCAAAGGGGATGATCGCACGTTGTGTTAAATTGGTCAAGCACCCTCGAGGCAGTTTCACAGCGCTTACAATTGTCTCTGGAAGTAAGAGTACCAGAAAAAAAATTAAGTAATACGCGGCTGTCATCCGTACGCACGGAAGTAAGCACAAGATGCGAAACACCCTGGTCCGGTGAGAAACCGGCGTGCTCCGTCCCCGCTTTGTAGGGATGCGAGGTCAATAGTCTAACGACTACGGCATGCACGACCATGATACCCCCCCCTGCCCTTCCNCGCTTCGCGCTTGGTGATGTGAGAGCCTGGTCCGGTGAGAACCCGGCGTGCTCCGTCCCGGCTTTGTAGGGATGCGAGGTCAATAGTCTAACGACTACGGCATGCACGACCATGATACCCCCCCCTGCCCTTCCAAACTCAAGCTGAAACGGCGGACTCTCTGAAATCTCAAGTTCAACAAGTTCGAAAGGCAGACATTTCGCAACTCCATGGCGCTATGCTGAATTAGCCCTTCCTTCATGTGTGCTCTTCATTCGCGCGACGCTTTCGCTCTTGTCGCCAAACCTCAATCAGGGCTTCACGACCCGACGTGGCTGGTAGTTTTGCCATGGAAGCGGCTACCAACATGCACACGTGTTTCTACAGGAGTGGCTACGACATATCAGTGCCTCTTGCTCCCAGACAGGTACTCCACGATCTGGCAAACGTTGCTCCTCTGGATCGGGAGTTCTTCTTGACAACAAAGGTAGGTGCTGGCAGCATTGTGTAGTTCGAGCTGCTGTTGTTTCTTTTCTTGCCACTGCTGCTGCAGGTGGTGTTGTTTGTGAACCGAAAGCCGATGTGGCCATCTCAACACCTTCAGCACTCCCGTTTTTGCACTTGTTGCGCACGTCGCATGCGTGCATACGTCGTGCGTGTGGGCATCAACAGTCCGTTCCGCCCAAAACATTGCTTGGTACAGGCTTATTGCGAAACATACTCCAGTCGGTGGGTCGGTCGCATACATGCACGATTGCACCTCTGATTCTGACAGACGAACTCCATCACACACCCATAACATTTCATTGCTGACCCTAACAACATCCGTTTCACCTAATGTACCACATGATATGGATACGCGGGTTACGGAATTCGGTCAACTTACACGTGCCCAGGCAGATATGTTCCGGCTCACACCCTGACCTGTAAAGACCAACCACAATGTCATCAAGTCAACGCTGTTGTTATTTGTGACAGCAGCACGAAAAATTGAGGCTTGATACCAGCAATGCTGGTTGTACCTGGAAGAGAATACATAATGCTTCTCAACTCCGCGACGCCCGATCACCATGTCTCTACTTTGTGATTGCGCTATATACCAGTGTACATTGTATGTTAGCGGCCACGGTTCGGAGGAAAGGATTAGTCTTTTACCGCTGCAAGACGAAGAACACGGCGTGGTGGTAACCATGCACTGCTTCGAGGAACATCAAGAGCACCTACTTCCAGAAAATGCCGAGTTCTGTCAAGCGCTGAAAGACCAGTATGAAGGCTACGACTACCGAAGCCTGATGAACTCAACGTTCGGGCTGGTACCAGCTGGACGGGGTCCCGCCACGTACCGCCTCGGGGAAGTGATGAGCGCCGGGACGATCCCCGTATTCGTTGGCCGGGACCTAGTTCCTCCGTTCATGGAACAAATCGACTGGCCTTCGATATCTTTCGCGTTTACGCCGGACGAAGTGGAGTCGCGCATGATGAAGACGTTGCTGGCGGTTCCACGAGCGCAGCTAGAGGAAATGCAGGTATACATGTGAACAAAATAGCGCGAATGAGATGGGCAGGGATGAGTAGCCCCTGCCGTTCCCCGCCGTAATGAGTGCGGAGAGGGTGGTATTTCGAAGCCACTGGGCCATTCGTTGAACGTGGTGCATCGCTCCTTTCACATGCGTCCCTTTCAGCATACACAAAGATCGCCGTGCCAACACCGCGCCGTATGTAGTGACCAGGCATGGGTGGATGTGTACCAAGCTTGCCGAATGAAATTTTCCTTCTTCGGGGAGAATGGTGATGACCCACAAAGAAGTTATTGCACATGCTGCCGTCCCAATACCCCCCTAATCATCTGAGCCACGCCCTTGAGTACTTCCACGGCCATGACAAACGATGCGTATCGTTCCCGGGTTCCCAAGAGGAGAGAGAGAGGGGGCGTGAAAGGAAGTAGGTTTGAAATACCTGGCGTTGACTGTGCAGGGTGAGTCCTAGCACAAGGTACTAGCACCACATGTCAAGCTTATCCCTCTCCGTTGTCGCTAATTCGATTGTTCAATCGATATTTTATTGTACTGAACGGAGCTTTGGCTACACTCACAACAGCTGGCTAAGCTGGGCCAGTACAGTACGTGATCACTTTCTCAACATGTCGGAGCTACATCATACGGCCAATCCTCGGCAAGAGGTTCGAATGTGTTGATCGATAATTCGGGTGGCTCAGTTGTGTGTGATGGGAGTGTAGAGCAGCTCGGCCATGACGGACCGTAGGGGTAGGTAAAGTCGTGCAGACGTGTTGAAAAACGTGTTGTAAAACGTGTTGTAAAACGTGTTGCATTCATCGGGGGCGTGCTTGAGCTCGTCATTCCATCACGGCATCAAGTCACGCATAACGCTCAAACACCCAAAACGAATCTCCATCAATGTCCACCAATCTACCACACTCCCAAGGAAAACATAAAGAAACTTCTTCTTCCTCCGTAGTTCGTCACTGCAAATCCCGCATATGTATACGCAATATACCACCCCCATGCTATGCTACGAGTCTATCGAATAGCCCCCCTGCTCGTATGCATCGTCATGCTCCGGCAAAATATCAAGGTCATCCTTCTCATACCAGTTCATCCCAAAACACAATCAAAACCAAGACAAAATTCAAAATCCCAACACCAAAACAATACGTCCGAAAATAATCAATCGCATACCAACTCTTCCAAATCACCAAGAAAAGACCCAAACACGAACTCTCCAAAACACTACCATCTCCAATTGACTCTCTCCATCTCTTGTTCAAACCCGTACATATCCTCTTCCTTCCACTCCGCGGCAAAACACGATTTGATCCCAAAACACTTCTCTTTCACTGCAAATTCATCACAAAGTCTCTGTGCAACGCAAAAGATTCCTTGCTGACAGCCTTCGTCAAGAAATCTGCATGCTGAAACTCCGACGTCACATACGTAATCGAAATCTCTTTCCTCTCTACCAGTTTCCTGATAAAGTGATGGCGTACATCGATGTGCTTCGAGTTTGAGTTCGTGATCGGGTTGTGCGCAATCTGAATCGCTCCCTGATTATCCTCGAAGACCGGNAAAACACGATTTGATCCGAAAACACTTCTTTCACTGCAAATTCATCACAAAGTCTCTGTGCAACGCAAAAGATTCCTTGCTGACAGCCTTCGTCAAGAAATCTGCATGCTGAAACTCCGACGTCACATACGTAATCGAAATCTCTTTCCTCTCTACCAGTTTCCTGATAAAGTGATGGCGTACATCGATGTGCTTCGAGTTTGAGTTCGTGATCGGGTTGTGCGCAATCTGAATCGCTCCNCGGCAATTGCCACATACTCTGCTTCCGTTGTGGAGAGCGTGACGCACTTCTGCGTCCTCGAAAACCAAGTCACACACCCACCCCCACACATCACTAGTCCTCCTGAGACCGACCTACGGTCTGCCGCCTTGCTTGCATAGTCGGCATCCACAAACACCTGCATGCTCATGCCAGTGACCACTCCCCTCTCAAATATAATCACCATCCAACTCGTCCTACGCACGTACCCTAAAATACCCAGTGCTTCCTTCCAGTGCACCATCTTGGGAGACGCGCAATACCGCGCTACTGCTCGTACTGCATTCGCGATGTCCGGCCTGGTTTGAGTGGCCAACCACATCAGAGATCCTACCAACTCGCGAAACGGGACATCAGCACACGCTTCGTTCTCGTCAAAGTCGGTGAGCTTCACGCTCACAGGCAAGGGCACACTCTTCCCCCACTCTACGCCGTACTCTGCAGCCAACTCTTCTGCAAACCTTTGCTGCGAGATCCTCAAAAGGCCTCTCTCTAGATCTCTCTGGTAAAAGCACGCGGAGTACCACCTCAACTCCCCAAGGTCTTTCACTGGGACCATCTGGTTGAGGTCACTGCCAAACTTGTCACACCTCTCCTTCTGCCCTACGGCAAAAATGTCATCAACGTGGACCACAATGATCATGATCACACATCCATCCTCCATCAATCGAAAAACACATGCATCCGCCAAACATTGCACAAATCCTAAAAGTAACAAACACCTCGTCAGGTGCGCATGCCATTGTCGTGATGCCTGCTTCAAACCGTACAGACTCTTGCATAGTTTCACGATCAGTCCAGATAACCTACCACAACCTTGCGGGAGACGCATGAAACATCCTCTTCAAGCTCAGACTGCACAAATGCCTGCTGAATATCGAAATGGCACAAGTCAAGGTTCTGCTCACATGCCAATGCTGCCAACAAACGCACACTAGACACGGATACGGTGGGTGCAAACAATTCTCCAAAATCAATCGAAGCCCTCTGCATGTCCCCTCGCGCTACAAGTCGTGCCTTGAATTTCGTCGGCCATCCGTACTCGTCTGCCTTACAGTTGAATACCCACTTGGCGTTGATGAAGTTTTCTACTGGTTGCTACACCGGACTAAAATTACCTTCATCCAGCAGACCGAAAAACTCCCGACCGACTGCATCATCCCACAACTCTGAATGTTGAGACCGCATGGCCTCCTTGAACGTTTTCGGCACTCGGAGGTCGCTGGCGAGGCAGTGAGGAAGGTCCGGCGTCTTGTCAGGAGGGCGCTTGGCACGAAGAGTGGCTTCCACATCCTCGCGGGTGGCGAACATTGCTGCGAACATGTGCAGGCCCCCCGGCCCCCCAGCTCCTGCGGCCCCCCCGCTCCCATGGCCTGCTAAACTCGTATCTTGCGGCTGTGGGGGAGCGGGAGGGGCGATGTTGGCGGACGGTGGCAGGTCTCGACGTCCTTGATCGACGGCTTCCCGGGTGGCGAGCGACGAGACGAGCGCATCCTTGCCCATCATCGACAGCAGCCCAAGGCGGTGTTGGAGAGCGGTGCCGCCACCTAACGGCGACGGCGGTTGCTGTTGCTCATCCATGAGGCGCACTCGGTCGCCGCGCGTACGGCCATGTATCCTGGTTTCCTTCTCACCCAACTCTCTGACGGCTCGCTGTGAAAGCGGCGGGTGGAGAGCGGGTGCGGCGGCGCTTGCGTGCGGTGGACGGGGCGGCGTGGCTGCGGTGGACGGCGGTGCACTCGACGACGCCGTGGATATCGGCGACGGAGCTCCGGACCCTGTGAAGATCGACGGAGAAGCTGGCGGCGGTGAAGCGGGCGGCTGCGTAGCGGTAGTCGCTGTGGGCGGGGTGTGGGTGTACGTCCGCGATGTCCATGGCGGTGGCGGTGCGGCAGCGGCTGTAGGAGCGGCGGCGGCCGGCGAGGGCGCCGCGGTGACCGAAGAACCCCCCCCGCTGGCCGGTACCGGCGCCGGCACGGCGGTGCGGCGATTGATCCACACGACATTGTTGAACAGGCAGATCCTTCCAGTGTCGGCGCGGAGTACGACGGCAGTGGCGTCGGAGTGGTTGCGCGCTCCGTGCAGGTAGAAGCAACGAACGGATTGGACGTCCGCCTTGCTGGCGCGCTTCACGCGCATCATCCCCTCCTGGAAAAAGGGGACGACCTTGAGCGGCGGTTTGCGTCCGAAGAAGGCCTCGAACGGCGACATCCAGGCCGGGTTGGCCGACGTCGCGGAACGGTTGAAGCAGCCGGAGGCCCAGATCGCCGATGCAAGCCACAGCCGGTGTCCGTTGGCGTCCATACCGGGGATGGAGGCGAGGTCGAAGTGGCCCATGGAGAGGACGTGGCGGCGGGCGGCGTGGCCCCCCTTCATGGCTCGCCAGATGGCGCTTTCCACGACCGCATTCTGCTTCGGGGTGTCGGGCGCGGTGTACTCGCGCCGGATGCCAGCGGCATCGCAGAACGCGACGAAGGCAGCGCTCGTGAACTCCCCCGCGTTGTCCATGCGAAAACACCCCAGAGGGCCGTTGCCGTTCAGGTCGGCGAGGAAACGCCGCGTGTACGTCAGGGTGTCGCTCTTGGCCCGCATGCCGTACGCCCGTTGCCACCGCGACGCACTGTCCACGAACATAATCAGGTAACGGGAACCGTCGAACGCCTCAGAGTACGGGCCGGTGATGTCGGTGTGCACCTTGCCGAACGGTACCGCCGCGCGGGTGACTCCACGCCGCGGCACCGGGGCCCTCCTGCCCTTCGCCTCGATGCAGCCGACGCATGGCTGCAGTTCCCCCACCAATTGAACACCCTGCTGCTTGGCGGTTTCCCGCATCAAAAATTCATTCACGTGGCCGGTGGAAGCGTGGAACAAATTAATGTCGATGGTGGACGTGGGTTTTCCTACAGTGAACGCTGGACCACCGGGGGCGATAATCGCCAAAGCATGGGAAAGGGAAGGGGGACCTACATCTTGCTGCACACGGCACTCGGCAACGAAGTGTTTGAGCGCGTCCAACTCATCTTGCATCACAGCGAACGCAACGGGGGGCTTCACGGACTCACACACGCCTAATGGGTCGGGATTAAAGTCACCAGGTGGGACCGAGTCTTGTCCGTTCATCAAGCCTACGTCCAAGAACATACTCATGTCCATCAAAGGCAAATTATCCTGGGACTCAAGGGGCATGATCTCTATCTCTCGCGACACATTCGGGTTCACGACTGAGGGGGACAGGACGTCGGAGGAGGCGATGGCTGCGGCTAGGACAGGCTAAAAAACTCGGATCGTTGTAGGCACTACATCAACATCGATAGACGGGGAAACACNAATTGAGAAGGGGGAGGGGGGTTTTGGGCGAAAAGGCCAGTGCCAACGCCAGGCGGAGACGCTTGGCGGACAACGGGGGGAGGGACAACGGTAGAGGGGATTACATCACCGTCGCGGTACGAGGGGGGCAAGCGGGTGGCCGATAGAGAGCATCCGATATCCGAATATGCGAAACTAAGCCGACCGCCGAAAAGGTGCACACCCCTCTCATCCAACACTATCCTGTGCTTTTTCTGCGTTTGGTGCAGAGAGAACAAGTTGAACGAAATTCCTGGCACTATGTACACGTCTGTCAATTGACACAATAGTCTNCGTCGCGGTACGAGGGGGGCAAGCGGGTGGCCGATAGAGAGCATCCGATATCCGAATATGCGAAACTAAGCCGACCGCCGAAAAGGTGCACACCCCTCTCATCCAACACTATCCTGTGCTTTTTCTGCGTTTGGTGCAGGGAGAACAAGTTGAACGAAATTCCTGGCACCACGTACACGTCTGTCAATTGGGCACAAAAATCCACTTCTCCCGAGCGGCCTCCTGCCATATGGAATGCCAGATTGACACTACCGACACACTCCACGCGCAAATGAGCACCATTGCCTACTCTGATGTATTCTTTGCCGGGGGGAACAGGCGAGATGTTGTACATTTTGGAGCTGTTTCTCACAAAATGGTTGCTTGCACCGCTATCAGACCAAAATACCTCCCTAGCAGGACTGTAATCACAACTCTGGGCAGACAAAGCAAAACCAAGATCACCACATGCGACACTGCCTACATCACTCGAAACCGAAAGCGAACTCATCTCGTCAGCGGACACAAAGTGTGCCATCAGGGAGTGCAGATGCCCAGGCGGAAAAGCTGCTGCTCCGGGAGAAGGCGACTGGGGCGGGGCATGGGTGAAGTGTTGCTGCTGCTGCTGCTGCTGCTGCGGCTGAAACGACGGCGGTCGCGGAGGCTGCGGTGGTGGCTGCTGCTGCTGGTAGTACGACGTCGGAGGCGGGTAGCACGGCTGTTGCTGGTAATAGNTGCTGCTGCTGCTGCTGCTGCTGCTGCTGCTGCTGCTGTTGTTGCTGTTGTTGCTGCTCCCACCCCCCATACTCGCTACCATACGCGGGCCCCCCGTAGGGCATAGCACTATACGCATGCGTCACATTTGCATGCCCGTACGGAGGCCGCCACGGCGGCTGTGGCGGACGAGGGGGAGCTGCATACCTGTGCTGATGCTGTCCTCCGTAGCCGCTGTGAGGTCCGTGATGAGGCCCATCGCCCCAGCCCCCCCCACTGTAGCTCGGCTGCTGCGGCGGCGCTCCATGCAGTTGCTGTTGCTGGGGATGCTGCTGTTGAGGCT